ACAAATGAATCCAAAAATGCGAAGAACTGAATAAGCTTAGCGATAGCTGACGTTTTTTCATACCTCAGGAACTCTGAATGATCGACGAAAGCACTCTAATTTGATGTAATTATCAGTATGATGATTAAAATGTTTTGCGTTCATTTTGTTTTCATTTCCAACTTCCAATTTTATGTAATTATCAGTACGATGATTAAAACATTTTGCGTTCATTTTTTTTTTTCATCTAGACTGAAACCGCGATTCCGCTTGCTTGGAAACAGTGGGTATAGGCCGCACTTTTCGCATTAGCGTGAAGAAGATTCATTCGGATAAAAAAAATTCAATTCGAGCTAATGCAATAATTGCTTTGACAATGAACCTCTTTTATTTCAAAATTTTAATGCAAATATAAGTTACTTCCATTTTTCGATTTATTGTACATAACATCGACAAAAGGTAAGGAGCTTACTTGAAAATGTATCTGATCTTGAAGGGAAAGGTCAGGTTGATTTTCAAAGACATACTTGAACTCAAAATTGTGCTCAATTCCCATTTTAGGAATTGAAAATAGACATATATTTGATCTTCATATGACCTTGACGGCCACATGGCACATACTGGACGAGTTAAGTCTGGAATGAAAAATAGGGGTTTTCATTAAAGAAAACTGCCTTGACCTTCAAATGACCTTGAAACTCATAGTGAAGGTCACGTTCAAGAACACCATTAGATAAATCTTTTCAAACTTCACATTATTAAAAAATTTATGAAACATGTTTTTGGAGATATTTTAACCGTTCCTTACTTTCTTGACGCCCTTAAATACCAAAGAAGACACTAGTCAAGGTCATCGGCAAAAACATACGTCAAAAATAGGGGTTTCACTTGGAAAACTGTCTTGACGTTCAAATGACCTTGAAAGTCAGTGGAGGTCACGTTCAAGATCGCCATTAGATGAATCTTTTCAAACATTTCAACTTAACTACAGAATTTATGAAACGTGTTTTTGGATATATTTTAATCGATCCTTACTTTCTTGACGCCCTTAAATACCCAAGAAGACACTAGTCAAGGTCATGGGCAAAGACATACTCTAATGTGAAATTTGCTGCTCCTTACGTTTCTAGCGTCAAAAATAGGGGTTTCACTTGGAAAACCGTCTTGGCCTTCAAATGACCTTGAAAGTCTTGATGAAAGTCACGTCCAACAACGCCATTAGATGAATCTTTTCAAACTTTACATTATTACAAAATTTATGAAATGTGTTTTTGGAGATATTTTAATCATTCCTTACTTTCTTGACGCCCTGAAATACCCAACAAGACACTAGTCAATGTCATGGACAAAAACATACTCCAATATGAAATATGCTGTTCTTTATATTTCTGGCGTCAAAAATAGGAGCTTCATGTTCAAGAACCATTAGATGAATCTTCTCAAACCTTATAACATTATTACAAAATTTATGAAACGTGTTTTTGGAGGTATTTTATCCTTTCTTTACGTTCTAGACACCCTCAAATACCCAAAAGATCAAGGTCATGGGCAAAGACACACTCTAATGTGAAATTTGCTGCTCCTTACGTTTCTGGTGTCAAAAAAAGGGGTTTCACTTGGAAAACTGTCTTGATCTCCAAATGACCTTGAAACTCATAGTGAAGGTCACGTTCAAGAACACCACTAGATGAATCTTTTCAAACTACACATTATTACAAAATTTATGAAACATGTTTTTGGAGATATTTTAACCGTTCCTCACTTTCTTGACGTCCTTAAATACCCAAGAAGACACTAGTCAAGGTCATGGGCAAAAACAAACTCCAATGTGAAATATGCTGTTCTTTATATTTCTTACGTCAAAAATAGGGGTTTCACATGGAAAACTGTCTTGACCTTCAAATGACCTTGAAAGTCAGTGGAGGTTACGTTCAAGATCACCATTAGATGAATCTTTTCAAACATTACAACTTAACTACAGAATTTATGAAACGTGTTTTTTCATATATTTTAATCGATCCTTACTTTCTTGACGCCCTTAAATACCCAAGAAGACACTAGTCAAGGTCATGGACAAAAACATAGTCCAATGTGAAATACGCTGTTCTTTATATTTCTGGCGTCAAAAAATAGGAGTTGCATTAGGAAAACTGTCTTGACCTTCAAATTACCTTGAAAGTCATAGTGGAGGTCACGTTCAAGATTACCATTAGATGAATCTTTTCAAACCTTACAACTTAATTACAGAATTTTTGAAACGTGTTTTTGGATATATTTTAATCGTTCCTTACTTTCTTGACGGCCTTAGATACCCAAGAAGGTACTAGTCAAGGTCATGGACAAAAACTTACCTCAATCTGAAATATGCTGCTCTTTATATTTCTGGTGTCAAAAAAAGGGGTTTCACTTGGAAAACTGTCTTGATCTTCAAATGACCTTGAAACTCATAGTGAAGGTCACGTTCAAGAACACCATTAGATGAATCTTCTCAAACCTTAGAAGTTTATTACAAAATTTATAAAAAGTGTTTTTGCAGATATTTTAACCGTTCCTTACTTTCTTGACGCCCTTAAATACCCAAGAAGATGCTAGTCAAGGTCATGGGAAAAACATACTCCAATGTGAAATATGCTGTTCTTTATATTTCTGGCGTCAAAAATAGGGGTTTCACTTGGAAAATTGTCTTGACCTACAAATGACCTTGAAAGTCAAGATGAATTTTTTCAAACATTATAACTTAACTACAGAATTTATGAAACGTGTTTTTGGATATATTTTAATCGTTCCTTACTTTCTTGACTCACTTAAATACTCAAGAAGACACTAGTCAAGGTCATGGGCAAAAACATACTCCAATGTGAAATATGCTGTTCTTTATATTTCTGGCGTCAAAAATAGGGGTTTCACTTGGAAAACTGTGTTGACCTTCAAATGATCTTGAAACTCACAGTGAAGGTCACGTTCAAGAACACCATTAGATGAATCTTCTCAAACCTTATAAGTTTATTACAAAATTTATAAAAAGTGTTTTTGCAGATATTTTAACCGTTCCTTACTTTCTTGACGCCCTTAAATACCCAAGAAGATGCTAGTCAAGGTCATGGAAAAAACATACTCCAATGTGAAATATGCTGTTCTTTATATTTCTGGCGTCAAAAATAGGGGTTTCACTTGGAAAATTGTCTTGACCTACAAATGACCTTGAAAGTCAGTGGAGGTTACGTTCAAGATCACCATTAGATGAATCTTTTCAAACATTACAACTTAACTACAGAATTTATGAAACGTGTTTTTTCATATATTTTAATCGATCCTTACTTTCTTGACGCCCTTAAATACCCAAGAAGACACTAGTCAAGGTCATGGACAAAAACATAGTCCAATGTGAAATACGCTGTTCTTTATATTTCTGGCGTCAAAAAATAGGAGTTGCATTAGGAAAACTGTCTTGACCTTCAAATTACCTTGAAAGTCATAGTGGAGGTCACGTTCAAGATTACCATTAGATGAATCTTTTCAAACCTTACAACTTAATTACAGAATTTATGAAACGTGTTTTTGGATATATTTTAATCGTTCCTTACTTTCTTGACGCACTTAAATACCCAAGAAGACACTAGTCAAGGTCATGGGCAAAAACATTCTCTAATGTGAAATATGCTGTTCTTTATATTTCTGGCGTAAAAAAATAGGAGTTCCACTTGAAAAACTATCTTGATCTTCAAATGACCTTGAAAATCATGGTGGAGGTCACGTTCAAGAACACCATTAGATGAATCTTTTCAAAGTTATTTTTATTACAAAATTTATGAAACCTGTTTTTGGAGAAATTTTAACCGTTCCTTACTTTCTTGACGCCCTTAAATAATCAAGAAGACCCTAGTCAAGGTCATGGGCAAAAACATACTCCAATGTGAAATATGCTGTTCTTTATATTTCCGGCGTCAAACATAGTGGTTTCACTTGGAAAACTGCCTTGACCTTCAAATAACCTTGAAAGTCATAGTAGAGGTCACGTTCAAGATTATCATTAGATGAATCTTTTCAAACCTTACAACACAATTACAGAATTTATGAAACGTGTTTTTGGATATATTTTAATAGTTCCTTACTTTCTTGACGCCCTTAAATACCCAAGAAGACACTAGTCAAGGTCATGGGCAAAAACATACTCCAATGTGAAATCAGCTGTTCTTTACATTTGTGGTGTAAAAATAGGGCTTTCAGTTAGAAAACCGTCTTGACCTTCAAATGACCTTGAAAGTCATAGTCACGTTCAAGAACACTATTAGATGAATCTGTTAAAGCCTTAAAACTATATTTTACAAAATTTATGAAACTTCTTCATTTCGTTCTTGAGTTTTTATTTTCCAAAAAAAGGGCATAAACCGTTTTGCTATATGAAATTACAAACAACAATTTTCAGGTCCCCCACTCATTCTATAAAGATTGAAGACAGAGAAATGGACGTATGTGGTCCTATTCATTTTTCCTGCGAGCTATGCACCGATAAGATCTTCACAAGCATGGAGTTTGCAAAGCATTCCGTGAAACACTGCCCAGATAACTTGTATCACTGCATATATTGTCGCTTCAGAACCAAAAAATCGAAGAAACTGTCTATTCATATTACAGATACGCACAGAGAACATGCTAATACATACTTGAAATGTACTACCTGTGAGCTACTATTAGATGATATTGAGATCTTCGCAGAGCATAAAAATGTTCACGACGGAATATTTCCTTTCAAATGCGCAAAGTGCGGAAGATATTTCATGTTCTCTTGGCTTCTGAGAACCCACAACCGTCTGCTTCACCCTATTCTAGAGGAAGAAATAAACTCTAAAAAGCGCAGAATTCGTAAGAAGCAAAATCCAGTTGAATGTTCCGAATGTGGAAAAAACTTGAAGACTGCAGCTGCGCTCGAAATCCACAAGCGTAAGCACACTCGTGAGAAACCTTTCACATGTTTCACTTGTAACCGCAGCTTCAGGTTCAAGGCGAATCTTATAGTGCATCAACAATACCATACAGGCAAAACTCCGTTTCAATGCGAACGATGCGGCAGCCTCTTTGCCTTGAAGTATGTGCTGAAGAAGCATATGGAGATTCACAGTGACGTAAAGCCCTACGTGTGCAAAGAGTGTGGCAAGGGCTTTAAGAAGAACTGCTCTTTGATAACGCATATTCGTACGCATACGAACGAAAGACCATTCAAGTGCACCATGTGCGATAAGAGTTTCAAGCAACTGGGGAGTTTGAACAGTCACTATTCGATGCACGGGGTGAAGCCTAAGAAAAGACTGTATCAGTGTACGGTTAGTAATTCGGGGTGTCGCATTAATTCTAGACCCTTTATAGTTGATTTGCGTTAAACTCTCTATCATTTGATACCACAGGCCTTATCCTACAAATAATTCCGGAAATGATCAGGAACCTCTGAAACATCAAAAAACGAGGTTTGAGCGTTTTTTGTTTTCCAAGTGTTTTTGTCCCTAGTTCCATCGCCACAAAGTTTTTGCGTCTTTCGCATAGAACATTGTGTAAAAGTTTCATCGGAATCTCAAGTTATAGGCGGTTATAAGATTAGCGGACCGTCTATTTACTATAATGTAATTTGAAAAGGTCAGTGTCCTACCTACCTATTCGCTTATACAGGGTGTCCCGAAAAAAGTGTGCAATATTCTACCAGCGGTTTCTAGAGCTTAAAATAGGAAGAAAAGTTTATATAAACATAGGTCGACAAACGTCCCCTAAGGGCGCTACGCTCTTTTAAAGGGGCTCCCTTGAAGATGGTTTTTCCTTAATATTTCCGAAACGTGTTGAGATAAAGACATAAAATTTGGTATTCTAGCCCAGTTTTTTATGCTGAATTTAAAAATATTAACAATTTTAGCCAGTTTTGTTTGGAAGCGTATGTAACAGGGACGGACTCAGGTTATTTTAGCCCCAAAATTGTTGTGTGATTCTATTTTTGAAATTCAATTTTAGAATTTGTAAATTTAGGGTTTTCTACATAAAAAAGGTACTCTTACAGAATATCGATAAATTGTGCCATTTTTGAATAAAATCAAACTAAAAAATTTGTCACATGATAGGAATTTTACTGCGAATTTAAATGAATTGTTGATTATACATAGTTAGCCATGACTGCAAACAAAAGTTGTTTTGATTTGTTATGACTTATTTTGACGTTAAGCTGACATTGTTAGCAGTGTAAAATTACTAGATTAAAATCAAAATTTTTATTAAATCGATTTAAAATGCCAAGATTTACAGACAGAGAACTGACTGACATGCATTTTGTGTACGGGTTTTGCAATAGCAGTTTATTGGCAGCCGTAAGAGAATATCAAAGAAGATTTCCCAATTGCATAGTAATTGGACGTCGAATGTTTTATTTTTCACAGCCACCTATGCGTTATTTTGCATTGATATGAAAATAGGTTGATGTGTTATTTTTATGCTGCAAATTTGATTAGGGAGTGATACAGTTGGTGTTTTCTACTATACAGGGTGTCCGCAAAGTTGGGGTTGTCCTTTTCAGAAACAACTACCCTTGAAATAACAAAGGTAATGTGTAGTGAAGGGCGACCAAGTAAAAAAAAATAAAGGAAAAAGTACTCACTCTCCAGTTAACGAGAAGGGCTAAGTACGTCTCTGCCCGAAATCATACCGCTCCAACAGAAAATGAAATCAGCTGATGCGCTACCGAGCAGACGCAGGCGGTGGTGCAGACCACGAACAGAGGTAACAAATATGACGGCGTTGCCGCGTTTTCAGTTTTTAGGTAAACGTACTTTATAGGTATTGTTCGAAGTTATCGCCGTCAAAAACACAGATGCGTGCACGACGTAGCCAAGCATCGGTGCAGGCTTTGAGAATGGAGTCCCTCCCCCGAATGAAAGCACCAGCTTGTTCAATTCTGAGACGAAGTTCGTCAACCGTATGCACTTCAGTTTTGTACACTAAGCGTTTCATTTCTCCCCAAAGAAAAAATCACATGGTGTTAAGTCTGGAGATCGCGGAGGCAACGCTACGGGTCCATTACGTCCACCTATTCGGAAATAATTCATTCAAAAACTCACGCACTTCGCGTCTAAAATGGGGCGGTGCACAATCGTGCAGAAACCACATTGATTGTCTTACACTTAATGGCACATCTTCTAACAAGGAAGGCAAAATGTTGCGTAAAAAGTCTTGGTATTGCATCCCGTCCAATCGATTTGGGAGAATAAATGGTTCAATGAGCATACCGTTCACCATGCCAGCCCAAACATTCACCGAAAAGTGTTTGTTGAAAATGTGCCCGACGGACAGCGTGCGGATTTTCTACTGACCAAACATGAGTGTTACGAAAGTTATTCACCCCATTACGCGTGAAGGTAGATTCGTCTGTCATCAATATGCACTTCAAAAAGTCCGGATTATTGTCATGTTGATGCAACAACCACTCACAAAACCGCACTCTTGCTGGAAAATCGTCAGGCTGAAGGGCTTGTACACGTTGAACGTGAAACGGATACAGCCCCTCTTCACGCAGCGTTTGCCACACTTTAGTTTTTGATACGTGCACTTCTCTAGCCACGTCTCTAGTGCTTGTTGAGGGATTCTCGTCTACGCGATTCAGTAGTTCTTCCTCAACTTGCATCATTCGTGGTTGTCTAGGCCTCCTACTGTGCCCACCTCGAAATTCCTCCAAATGGCCCGTACCCTGACTCTCTGGACCAGGTACACAAATCTGCGGGGCCTTGGATGATGTCGTCTAGGGAAACGATCTGCATACACTCGCGAAGCCTCTGTAGCATTTTGAAGACAGTCGCCATAAATTAACAACATATCAACGAGTTCATTATTGGTGTATGAGTGTGCCATTATTATTATTTTTTTTTTTGAAACGCAATCGATTATACGGGTTCGTTTAACTCTACACACGTAAGCGGAACCGTCGGTTGAAGGTTGCATACTGACCTGACACACTGACCCCGACCCAGTTCTGTCGTCGGGTTGAGCCAGTGACCTTGTACCACTCGGTGATGTCGCGGGTCGCGGCTACAGGACGGTATTCAGATATTTTTGATGTTGCAGAGCCCTTTATCTCGGTTCCCTTAAGACATTGGTGTATATGGTACTAAGAAAAATTTCTTATGTTTTCAAGATCTACACGTCGTGTAAAGAAAAACCCCAACTTTGCGGACACCCTGTATATTATCAAAATATTCATTGTTAATATTTTAAACCTATGACACCCTGCTACATTTTCATTATTTGTGTTTGATAAAAAAAAAACTAAGATTGCAATAGTTGGGCTAACTGAAGTGGGAAGGGGCTCGTAGAGCATCCTCTGTCAACCAAAACTCTCAATTATTTGCATTGACAACTGAATGTTCAGACCTTGTATTTGGGCTAATCAAAGCGGGTTCGTTTTGCAAATGTAAGCATAACCTAGCTTCATTGTAGTTACTTATCCCGAGACTAGACGTATGCCTTATCCTACGTGATGATTCAATGGATGCCGTTAAAATCGGCAATTATTTTAGAAGGTTTGATGTTAAGCGCAAATCAAGTACAAGTTCCGTCTAGAATTGACGTGGTCTCCAGTGGAAATGTCTATAAGTGTCGTAAATAATTTTGTTTTCAAATCTGTCAAGTTGTTATAAACGCTCATTTTTAGTTGTTGTCTTCATAAATTGGACGTGTTAATTTTTGTTTTCTTAGAGAGATATCAAACTTTAGAGAAAAGACAAAGGTCAATAAGCGGAAATTTAGGCAATGAAAGTTATAAAAGATTTTCGCATTTAAATATTTTATTAGAACATCTATATTTTAGGCGTTCATGAACATTTTTCTTTTTATTTTAGTATTTGTTTTATTTTTTTAAATCGCAATGTTCGCAGTTTTGGAATCTTTATCAAAAATTCACAAATTTTCGAATATTTTTTTTTAACTAACTTGTATTTTTATACCCACTTTATATGTAAAATGTATAATAAAACGCACTGATACGCAAAATATAAAAGAAGATGCTCCAGTGCACCCAATATAAGAAGGAAGGTTGAAACAAGTAAATAGTCAATTATAATTAGACAACGTTAAAAATTGTAAAATGGGTGAATTTTTATACAAATATGTCAAAATTGCGAACTTTGGATTTTAAAGAACAGTCACCTACTAAATTATAAACAAAAATGTTGATGAGAGTTTAAAATGTTTATGTTTAAAAATGTTTGAATGCAAAGATTCCATAGATTCCACCGACATGAGATTTGAGTTATATCTAGCACCGAAAACCCCGCTTATAGACCCTAATCCTTTAGACATGACAGTCAACAAGAATGTTTGAGTCCCAATCCGTTCGAGCTTGTAATTTAATATTTTTTATTAATCGACATCTGCAAAGTTTTCACTCAAAAAGCTGCAGATATGAAGCGTATTTTAAAAATATTCCGTCATTCTTGCACGGATGTTATTTTAAAAAAAAAATGTCTGTTCTCATTAGCAAGATTTTGTAATAAATGAAGGGTACCGGGGAAAACGGCATTAGTCCATTATTTGACTAAATTGAGGTTTCAGTTTATTTTGGTGGCATTTTCCTGATGCTATCTTGTAATGAGCTTCTTAAATTGTAAAACGGGCTTAGATTCACAAAACAACAGCTATAAGATTTCCTGTGCCGGGGAAGAATGGCATGAGTCCCTGCGCTTGTGTGGAAAAACGGCATCAGTCCATATGCATCGGCCGTACCTACATGAAAATCCAAATATCGCAAAATTACACAAAATGTATTCTATAGGCAATATTGAAAACAAGATATCATATGAATCCTTCCGAGAAATCTTTGAAAACAACTTCAATAGGTATATCGTTCGGTTATCCACGAAGAGATATTTGTAGTACCTTGTGATTCCTTAAAAGCTGATATATCTTCACTTACCGCTACCTTAGATTCCCACACGAAACAAACTAGGCAGTCAGCAAGTAATAATTTGGAGAAAAAGATACTTGAGAAGACACTACATTAAAAAAGGAGTGAGCGATTTTACAGTCTAAAGAGAACTTGCCGCAAACGTGCTTCGAAGTATCACGATGGATTACCAAAAAAACTTACACTGTCCAAATATCACGACAAATGATGTTTACTACTCGTATAAGCGGCAACTAAATTTCATCAGTTTTAACATCCACATTCTGTCAAACTCAAATTCTATCTTTTATACCTACGATGAATCTATTGCTAAGATCTATTGCTAAGAAAGGAGCTGACG